GCCACGGCGAGCTGGTATAAATTGTATGTTTCCAAATAATGTTGGGAATCTGAATTAAACAAAACTTGTATTACTTATTTTGATTTGGCAGAAGAGAATTTTCATTCTTTTTTTGTCATTTTGTTTAATCATAACGACAATGCACTCTGGTGCTAATTTTTTTTATTTTTACGGATTATTTAAGATTTCACAGGTCCAGTCCCTGTCTGTGTGACAGGCGCTGGACCGAGCTGCTGAACTGACTTGTTCAGTACGTGTCCGTGTGTCATCCCTTTGCAAGTGGTGATAGGACCTAATGATCTCATAAGAACATAAGAATGGAGGAAACTGCAGCGGGCCTATTGGCCCATACTGGGCAGTCCCGTTTACACCCAACCCCTATTGCTCATATAAGCATCCAACTTATGTTTGAAGCTATTCAGCGTATTCGAGTAAATGATGATATTTGGTAACTTGTTCCACTCGTCCACTACTCTGTTTCCAAACCAGTGTTTACCTATTTCACGCCTAAATCTAAATTTGTCTAATTTAAAACCATTGTTACGAGTTCGCTCCTGGTTGGATAGTTTGAGTACCTTTGTAATGTCCTCTTTGTTTAGCCCTGACTTCCACTTATACACCTCTATCAGGTAGCCCCTCGCTCTACGTCTCTCGAGGGAGTGCAAATTAAGATGCTTTAACCTGTCTCTATACTCAAGGTTCCTTATGCCCGGAATTAGTCTTGTCATTCTCCTCTGAATTCTTTCCAATGATTCTATATCCATCCTGTAATACGGTGACCAGAACTGAACTGCGTAATCCAGGTGTGGTCTCACAAGCCCAAGATACAGTTTTAGGATGACCTCACTAGTCTTGTAACTAACACTCCTTTGTATGAACCCAAGTACTTTATTAGCCTTGTTACGAGCAAAAACACATTGTTTACTTGGCTTGAGGTTCCTACTTATCGTTACTCCTAAATCTCTCTCGCAGTCGGATTTCTCTATGGCATCGTTGTTCATCTGGTATCTGGTTTCCCTGTTTACATCTCCTATGCTGAGTACTTTACATTTGTCCACGTTGAATTTCATCTGCCATTTTTCAGACCATTCGAAAAATTTGTTTAGATATTCCTGTAGTTTTGCCGAGTCCTCGTCAGATTTAATAACACTTCCTATTTTAGTGTCATCAGCAAATTTACTTATGTTGCTGTCTATGCCGATATCTATGTCGTTTATGTATATAATAAATAATAATGGTCCAAGTACTGAGCCTTGGGGAACTCCACTTGTGACGTTGCTCCAATGGGACTTAGTGCCGTTAATGCTCACTCGCTGTTTCCTGTTCTGTAACCACGCCCTAATCCATTTAAGGATGTTACCTTTGATGCCATGAGCTTCTACCTTTCTAATTAGTCTTTCGTGGGGGACTCTGTCGGAGGCTTTGCTAAAGTCGAGATATACCACATCATAATTGTGCCCCTCGTCCACCGATTCGAAAACTGATGAAAAGAATGTTAATAGATTAGTTAGACAAGAACGTCCGCTTGTGAAGCCATGCTGGGAATCATTGATCAATCGGTGCTTCTCCAGGTGATTTCGCATAGAGTTTGAAATGATTGCTTCCAGTAATTTGCCTACTATTGATGTTAGACTGATTGGGCGGTAGTTAGAGGATAGTGATCTATCCCCCTTCTTGAAAATCGGTATTACATTCGCTATCCTCCAGGATTCTGGTACACCTGTTTTTAAGGACATGTTAAACAACTTTGCTAAGGGCATAATAAGCTCTTCCTTACATTCCTTTAATACTCTGGCAAATATCTCATAGGGACCAGGTGACTTATTAGGCTTTAGTTTGTCTATTTGCTTACTAACATCGTTACTAGTCACTACTATCTCGCTTAATTTGTTTTCTTCACTATCTCTGAATAGAGTCGGTGCCTCGGGTATCATTTTTAAATTTTCAGTGGTGAAAACTGTTGAAAAATATTTATTCAAATTATTGCTCATTTCTCCGTCGTTATGAGTGAGCTTGCTGGTATCTGACCGTATTGGTCCAATCTTTTTTCGTGTTTTAGTTTGATACATTTGGTAGAATCCTTTGGGGTTTGTCTTCTCCTCCCTTGCTATCCTTACCTCATTATTCCTCTTGGCTTTCCTTATCTCGGTTTTAACCCTACTCGCCAATATCTAATAATAATCCTGGAGGTAAATTTCGCCACGCTTTATCCTTCTACCTATAGCCTTCCTTTGGCCAATGATGTTCTTTAAATAATTATTTATCCATTTAGGGTCATTGTTGTCTGATCTGAGTTTTTTGTATGGTATGTTCTGCCTTTGTGCATTAAGTAACTCATTATTCAAATTGTCGTGGAACTCGGCAATCTCAGATCTCGTTATCAGGTCGGAGTCATCTGTCAGGTTCACGGCCAAGCGTGACACCCCCTCTCTCAGCTGCCTCTTTAAACTGTCAAAGTTTGCCCTTCTGAAATCTGGTACTTCAGTGGAATTTTCCTTACGTCTGCCCTGAAAATCTAACTGGAATCTAATTTCTTTGTGATCGCTGTTTGCAAGTTCGTTCCCTACCTCGACATTGCTAATGAGGTTTTCTCTGTTCGACAGAACTAAGTCCAGTATATTATTACCCCGTGTGGGTTCGGTTATATGTTGACTTAGGAAACAGTCCTGGATCGTCTCGAGAAAATCCTCTGATTCTGAGTTACCCGTAAGGTCAGTCCAATCTATTTGGCCAAGGTTAAAGTCGCCTACTATACAGACTTTGTTATGTATGGAAGCCCTGCTCATTTCATCCCAGATAAGTCGCTCATTGACTCTATCAAGATTGGGAGGTCTATATATTACTCCTGTGATTAATTTTTCCCTAACGTCGCTTAATTCTATCTAAATTGTTTCTGTATTCCGCTCAGTTTTTATTTCCTTATTTATTTCACACTTCAGATTATCCCTAACATAGATTGCTACTCCGCCTCCTTTCTTGGTCTGCCTATCGGTATGGAACAATTTGTAACCCGCAATTTGGTATTCGACAGGTAACTCACGTGTGTCTAGGTTGATCCATGTTTCAGTGAATGCTATTATATCGATTTTTTCGGTACATACCAAGGCCCTAATATCATCCATTTTGTTTCTCATACTTCTACTGTTCGCATAGTAGACATTTAAGTTAGTCGTGTTCTGAGTCCTCCCTTTACCGCGTTTAGTTTTAAACTCCCTGTTTAATTTAGTTTTGTCATCATTCCTAACACTATTTCCCTGTAATCTTTTACTTTGTTTACCCTCTCCCACTGCAGTTTCCCCCACCCCCGTGCCCATATGTTCCCCTAGCAGTTTAAAGACTTCGATATATCTCAGTCTGGCTTGGGATACCATCACGAAAACAGTGGAGTGTATTGTCTGAACCATATATTGTGTTTGAGCTCGACTCAAGCATAATATATTCCGTAATTGGTGTTACTTATTTTGTTTCATAATTCATGTGGTCGCTGCTTAACGTGGGTGTAATATTTGTACACTTCCTTTATTAATTATTTCCTTATTTATTGGTGCCATTGTTGTTCATACTCATTCTTTACTTATATAATCCTACCATTTTTAGTGCTAAATTGGTATGACTCACTATTCTTCTCATTCTCCCAAGTTGGGCAGTGCTTGTCAAAGGAGGCGTGTTCTTGCTTACAGGAAGTACACTTCAGCTTGCTAGCTTGAGTGTGAATGTTTACTTGTGTGCATGTTTGTGTATGACTGTATGTGTGCTTCATGTGTGAATGCATGGGCGTGTTATGTATGTGAATGTGGGTTTGCTATTCTAACTCTTGTCCTATTTATCTGTCCTTCTTTATCATTCTTTAGTCTTTATCACTTGTCTGTTTGTTTGTTCTGGGAGAAAAGTGAAGGAGGCCACGAGGATGTTGAAAATTCCTCAAGGGGGGAATGGAGTGAAAAAGGTTGAGAACCACTGGTCTAGGGGATGTAAACAAAGAAACCAGATATCAGATGAACAACGTTGTTATAGAAAAATCCGACTGTGAGAAAGATTTATGAGTAATGATAAGTAGGAATCTTAAACGAAGTCAACAAAGTGCATTTGCTCGAAACAAGGCTAACGAAGTACAATACTTGGGTTCATAAAAAGGAATGTTGGTTGCAAGACTAGCGAGGTTATCCTAAAACTGTATCTTATGCTTGTGAGACCTCACTGGGATTACGCAGTTCAGTTGTGGTCACCGTACTACAGAATGGACATAAAATCCCTAGAAAGAATTGAGAGGAGAATGACAAGACTAATCCCGGGCATCCGGAACCTTGAGTACAGAGACAGGTTGAAGTTTCTTAATTTGCACTCCATCGAGAGACGTAGAGTGAGGGGCGATATGATCGTGGTGTGTAAATGGAAGTCAGGGCTAAACAAAGGTGATATATCAAAGGTACTCAAACTATCCACCCAGGATCGAACTCGTAACAATAATTGTAAAATAGACAAATTTAATTTAGGCGCGAGATAGGTAAACATTGGTTTGGAAATAGAGTAGTGGACGAGTGGAACAAGTTACCAAACATCATCATTAACTCGAATATGCTGGATAGCTTCAAACATAGGCTGGATGGATATATGAACAATAGGGGTTGGGTGTAAACGGGACTGCCCAGTTTGGGCCAATAGGCCGCTGCAGTTTTCTCCAGTCTTATGTATGTTCTTATTAACCTCACGTAGTGCGAGAAGTTATAGTGACGCTTCTCAGGATTTACATGGATACAGTAAATGTACTGTAGTTATCCGTAAGAGATAAACTATATTATAATATACACCATCGTTGGGATGTAAGAAATTATAAAAATTATTTTTAGCAGGTATAAAATATAATCAAATGGAGTAATGGTAGTCCACAATACATGAAATAATTAAAGTAAATCTTCATACATCTAAAATGCTTCACGCACTGTATGAATGATGGGTATAGCAGTCCCGCCCCGCCCTGCATGTATAACAGACACACTCACCTGACAGCAGTCTTTGGCCTCGTGAAGTCGTCCCAACTTTCTGAGGGGCGTCGCGAGCGTCACCAGCGACAGTCTTTGGAACTTGGAGTTAAGATCACAGATGTGGAAACTTTTGGAGAGCTCGAATGCCTTGGCGCTGAAGGACAGAGACTTCTCAAAGTCCTGCAAGAGACAGAAGGTGTGTCCCAAGCCGCAGTATACCTGGAGTTCGAGCGCAGTGTCGTGAATGCTGCGAGAAACTTTGAGGGCGAGTTCGTAGTGCTCGATGGCCTTGCTGTAGCTGGAGTAGACGAGGTAGGTGTTGCCCAGGGTGAGGTGGACGTAACCAGTAGTGCGGGACTGATCACACTGGTTGTAGAGTGAATGGCGGCAGTACGACACAGCCTTCTCCAGGTTGCCCAGCCGCTCGTTACCTCGGGCTAAAGTTAGGTAAGCCTCCGCTCGCAACATTGGCGAGTCCATTTCGTTGGCAATGTCCAGTTGTTGGAACCCAAAATCCAGCATCTCTCTGTAGAGTAAAACATGTTCTGACTTACGCTCTTTATAAAGATGTATAATCAAGAGTAGGAAGAAGGTGGGGCAAGGCGGCTACTCTAACATTTCATCAAAGATGGTGAAGCCTTGATGGTCTGTCTGAGTAAAAACATATATACCATATAAATGTTTCATAATGCTTGGTTGTGTATATAAAATTTTAGATTTTTAAACCAGAAATTATACACTATATATATTCCCTACTCCCGCTTGGCTATGTGGGTGGGGGGCAACGCCTGTGTCGCTGTGCAGTTCATTTACATTCAAATAAGCCTCATTATCATACATCATGTTTGTTCATTAGCGCAATAAATTACTTTGACATTATCTACAATAGCAGTCAAACATCAACACGAATATATTTATTTTAGACCCGTTTATCAGATGACATAAATAACAGATGTAGATAAATCTTCTGTAGTCACACAGACACCAAGTATGTAGTACAGTGTAGATCCTGTACACCCTAACGCTGGTCATGAGCCAATATTTACACGTACGACAGGTCACTCGCTCGACAACAGTGAAATAATTACTACAGTACACACACGTGTCACCTTCACCCAGGCGACCTACTGTGTCTCACCAGGTCTCAGTTTCTCGTAAGGTGACACGTCCCTGAAGGGTGTTACTTACTACATAAAAAACACACTGCAGGGATTCAGAGTTGGTACGATACTGTTGTTATAACCTTGTGTGTGTGTGTGCTTACAGTGTACCTTTGGGGGCCTACGAATAAAGTATCAACATTGCAATCTGCTCGGGTTTCACGGCCGGCCAAGAAGCGGGGCGCCCCCAGTCGCTCCAATTGCAGAATTAGTACCTAACTATAAAGGTGGGAAAGTGAGAGGCGGTAAGGTAGTGTCGGCCATGCTATGTACTGAGGGCCCAGTGCTCAGGGGCAACATCAAGAGGGAGTTAACTTGCACTGTGGAGTAGTATGGAGTAGACTAGAGGATACAGAGGTAGACTTGAGGATAGAGGGTTCGACTACAGGATACAGTGCTTTTCAATAAGGTGACTAGTCACACTGGGGTGACCCAGGCTAGGGCCAAGAATCACCCGGCTGGCTAGGGTAACCCAAGGGTGACCTGGCTGGCTAGGGTGTTCCAGAATGTGTCAGACAATCAGTTTCTGATTTTTTTCTCGCTAGAAGACTACCTCCAACAAAGGCAAACCAAATCACCAAGCGATACGGCGGCAGTGCTCTATACCTCCTTCGTTTGCTCTTCTCTCTTCCTATCCAAGGTATAAAGTTCTTTGTACCTTGCTCCTACTTACGAACAAGGATATGTTGACAGTTACATAAATGCTGCCAGAATAATATTTTTATGTAACCAAGGAGTTATATCTTGTAGCGGGGATTTTGTAATTTGGACCAACTGATGCGGGGCGCTCTCGAAGAAGAGATCACTCCCTCTTGGGATAAGCTGATACATGAAACACAAAAGCAGAAAAGGCCATTGAATGAATGATTATTAATTTCCTAAACAACCAAGCCTACCTGTGGGAGCTGACAACCAGGCGTCACCCGCGCCGCAGCAGCCTACCCTCCCCTTTCCCTCTCCACCTCACATCGCCAGATGTTATGTGGCGGGAAAATAGCAGCCAGTCCACAATTAGAATCGAAAAGTGACATCACCACAAGCCATGCCCAAAAACTAGTTGATATAAGTGCTTGCACAGTCTCGGGAGCGGCATTCACTCCCATACCCTCATAACTTATTATAAGAACTCCCCATTAGTTGACGGGTCATGTCTCGAAGTGCTGCACTTCTCTGCTGGTCCATCCATGAGTCCTCCTGTGCCCAGCCAAATTATCGGCTCTTCTATCAAGCTAAGTCTAATAACATTTATTTGAGTCATAGGGTCTTGTTTAGCTTTAGTTATACCAGCGTGAAAAGAGGTAATTTCTAAGAGTTACCAACCTACTGTGAAACGGTGATCAAAAGTGTAGTGTAGTGACGAGACAAACGTACATAGTTTACTCGTATATTTATTTATTTGCATCATTATATGATTCTGTCAACAATAAGTAGAAACCTTACTACTATCCCGTAGTGAATTCTGTATTATATTTTCCTACGTGGTTTTGATGCTTATATGCAGAAACCACGTCAATAACTCTTATAGGTGATCAATTAATGTCAGCATTGCTTGATCTTCGGTGATAAATTAGTATAGACACTTAAGTTAAGTTTTAACCTGCATCTAAGTCTCGTGATTATTCTTTTTGTGCGTAAATAAGTATTTTAAATATAATAAGAAAATTGTCACGGGTTGTTTTACATACCCTCTCCAATAATTAATTGATAAATACCTAATTAAGTGCCATTAACTTCATTTCACTATACTTTGTCTACGGTTTTGAAACTTCTGGTTGACATCTTAGCTAATTTATCAAGTAATCATTGGAAGTGTTATAGAAACTCGTCATACTGTTAACTAGATGTTTTAGCTACACGTAACAATGCCCAAATATACTAAGCTATGGTCATTATACGTCACATTTCCCTTTTATAAAAAATATCGATATTTTACTTACACCGCTGCGCTCTCTTTAACTTTTCCAAGGAGATAATTCTGAAGTTGGTCACTATTACAAAATCCCCGATACAAGATATTATCTTCTCAGTTACATCCCCCCCCCCCATTTTTTTATATATTATTCTGGCAGCATTAATGTAACTGTCAACATATCCTTGCTCATAGGTAGGGACGAGGTATAAAGATCTTTATACGTTGGATAGGAAGAGAGAAGAGCAAACGAAGGAGGTATAGAGCACTGCCGCCGCATCGCCTGGTGATTTGGTTTGCCTATGTTGAAGGTAGTCTTCTCCTAGCGAGAAAAAAACTAATACAAATCAGAAACTGATTGTCCGACACATTCTGGAGCACCCAAGGGAACAATACAGGGAGCAATACAGGGAGCAATACAGGGAACAATACAGGGAGCAATACAGGGAGCAATACAGGGAACAATACAGGATATATAAATAACAATACAAGATACAAGAAACAATACAGGAAGTAGGAAACAACACAGGATGTAGGAAACAATACAGGATATAGGAAACAATACAGGATATAGGAAACAATACAGGATATAGGAAACAATACAGGATATAGGAAACAATACAGGATATAGGAAACAATACAGGATATAGGAAACAATACAGGATATAGGAAACAATACAGGATATAGGAAACAATACAGGATATAGGAAACAATACAGGATATAGGAAACAATACAGGATATAGGAAACAATACAGATATAGGAAACAATACAGGATATAGGAAACAATACAAGATACAGGAAACAATACAAGATACAGAAAACAATACAAGATACAGGAAACAACACAGGATGAAGGAAACAACACAGGATATAGGAAACAATACAGGATATAGGAAACAATACAAGATACAGGAAACAATACAGGATATAGGAAACAATACAGGATATAGGAAACAATACAGGATATAGGAAACAATACAGGATATAGGAAACAATACAGGATATAGGAAACAATACACGATATAGGAAACAATACACGATATAGGAAACAATACAGGATATAGGAAACAATACAGGATATAGGAAACAATACAGGATATAGGAAACAATACAGGATATAGGAAACAATACACGATATAGGAAACAATACAGGATATAGGAAACAATACAGGATATAGGAAACAATACAGGATATAGGAAACAATACAGGATATAGGAAACAATACAGGATATAGGAAACAATACAGGATATAGGAAACAATACAGGATAAGGGAAATAATACAAAGATATAGGAAACAATACAAGATACAGGAAACAATACCGGATGTAGGAAACAATACAAGATACAGGAAACAATACAAGATACAGGAAGCAATACAAGATACAGGAAACAATACAAGATACAGGAAACAGCAGAGGAAGTAGGAAAAATACAGGATGTAGGAAACAATACAAGATACAGGAAACAATACAAGATACAGGAAACCATACAAGATACAGGAAACAATACAGGATGTAGGAAAAAATACCAGATACAGGAAATAAATACAGGATATAGGAAACAATACAAGATACAGGAAACAATACAAGATACAGGAAACCATACAAGATACAGGAAACAATACAGGATGTAGGAAACAATACAAGATACAGAAAACAATACAAGATACAGGAAACCATACAAGATACAGGAAACAATACAGGATGTAGGAAAAAATACCAGATACAGGAAATAAATACAGGATATAGGAAACAATACAAGATACAGGAAACAACACAGGAGGTAGGAAACAATACAGGATATAGGAAACAATACAAGATATAGGAAATAATACAGGATATAGGAAACAATACAGGATATAGGAAACAATACAGGATATAGGAAACAATACAGGATATAGGAAACAATACAGGATATAGGAAACAATACAGGATATAGGAAACAATACAGGATATAGGAAACAATACAGGATATAGGAAACAATACAGGATATAGGAAACAATACAGGATATAGGAAACAATACAGGATATAGGAAACAATACAGGATATAGGAAACAATACAGGATATAGGAAACAATACAGGATATAGGAAACAATACAAGATACAGGAAACAACACAGGATGAAGGAAACAACACAGGGTATAGGAAACAATACAAGATACAGGAAACAACACAGGATATAGGAAACAATACAAGATACAGGAAACAACACAGGATGAAGGAAACAATACAGGATATAGGAAACAATACAAGATACAGGAAACAACACAGGATATAGGAAACAATACAAGATACAGGAAACAACACAGGATATAGGAAACAATACAGGATATAGGAAACAATACAAGATACAGGAAACAACACAGGATGAAGGAAACAATACAGGATATAGGAAACAACACAGGATATAGGAAACAATACAGGATATAGGAAACAATACAAGATACAGGAAACAACACAGGATGAAGGAAACAACACAGGATATAGGAAACAATACAGGATATAGGAAACAATACAAGATACAGGAAACAATACAGGATATAGGAAACAACACAGGATATAGGAAACAATCAAGATACAGGAAACAATACAAGATATAGGAAACAATACAGGATATAGGAAACAATACAGGATATAGGAAACAATACAGGATATAGGAAACAATACAGGATATAGGAAACAATACAGGATATAAGAACAATACAAGATACAGGAAACAATACAGGATAGGAAACAATACAGGATAGGAAACAATACAGGATATAGG